GGTCGTAGCGGGCCTGGATGGCGTCGAGCGGGGCGGCGACCAGGCTCTGGATGGACCCGGCCAGCAGGCCCGCCGCAAACGTGTCCCGCGGCGGCGGGGGCGGGTAGACGCGCCTGGCGCCGCGGCCGGACTCCTCGTGCAGGCGGGCCAGGATGTGCAGGTAGCTCGAGTAGAGGACGGCGCCGACGGCCACGTTGGCCATGAGCGGCGGCAGCACGTGGTCGGGAACCACGGACCAGCCCTGCTGCCGGATCGCGCTGGTTAGCACCCCGGGCGTGGTGCCGCGCAGCCAGGCCCAGACTTGCCGCAGCCGGCCGCCGCCGCCGCCGCCGCCGCCCCCCTGTTGTTGCCGCTGCTGCTGCTGCTGCGACGGCGGCTGCGGGGGGTGGCGCTCGAGGTGGATGCTGCGCGCGTAGGCGAGGTAGTCGACGCGCGTGCGGAAGAAGGCCTTGACGGGTGCGCGGAAGTAGAAGGCGACGGCCTGGGCGGTGAAGGCGCGCACGCCCGCGGCGGATGCGGCCGTGGCGGCGTTTTTGCGCTGCGCGTTTTCGTTGTACAGGTCGGACCCCGGCGGCGGCACCACGGGCAGGATGCCGGCTCCGCCCGGCGGCAGCGACGTCGCCCCGGGGCGGCGGGGGCCGTCGCCCTGACCCTGACCGTTGGCGTCGGTCGCGGTCATAGTGTCTTCCCGGGCCGTCTCATGGTATTCCCTTGGATGTGGTGGACTTGTTTCTTTTTGCTCGGACCGCCACTGTCTTCTGTGTCGAGATGAGGCGCCGAGTTGCCAGAAAAGCAGCGGTTCTTGGCTTCACCGTCATGGGTCTAATTCTCCCTGTCGTCGGCTCAAAGTTGTAGCCTGGCCTTGTTTTTGTTCTGGCCCCACTTCGCCGGTCCAGGTGTGGGGCGTGTCTGCCTGCTGGGGTGTAAGCAACTTGGCAGGGGACGACTTGTGATCGACAGAGGGTGCGTAGATAAGGGCAGCTCATTGCTTCGCTTCCAGCGAAGTAGCAAACCAACCCCTTAAATGCCAGTCCACCGTGCCAACAAGTGTGCTTCGCTTGTTTTTTTTTCTCTTTCCTCGACGGTCTGATGCGTTCGTTGTTCGGCCCGGTCTTGCTGGCCCGTCGTCAACCCTGGCCCCTGGCCCCTGGGCTCAAGGGTTCGGGAAGTTCTTGTTCGTCTTACGTCTGCCTGGCTTGGTAGCGCAATGGCACACGGCTCCTCCGAGACTATGTATCGCCCTGGTTCGAGTCCTGCTCGTTGATCATCTTCTTTCGTCGCCCTACACATGTCACCCTCGATGGGCGCGGCCTGATGTCCAGCCTCCCAGCTGGCCCAGACAGGACCTTCTCAGATCACCAACAGCACAAAATCGCCAGAAGCACGCACTGTAAGCGTTTAGGGCTTTGCTCGTTATCACGCTGATAGTGAACTCGAAAACTTGGAGTTGAGTTGACATATATACCTAGATATTCCCCCTCGGAATGGCTCGTCCTCCCTTCCACACTGACCTATACTCAATCCACCACCTTCAGCATAGCATATGCCTTGTGACTGACCGCCCTCTTGACCACCTGGAGAGGGTCCTTCTTGCGCTTTTTTGCCGGCTGCTCAAGCGTTTCGATGTCCTCCCCGTCCTTGGTGATAACCACCGGCTCTTCCTCCACATCCTCGGCGACAACCACCGGCTCCTCCTCCTCCTCCTCCTCGGACTCTTCGGGATCCTCGAAGCCACCGCCATCCAGGAAGACCTTAAGCATACCCTGGGAATAACCACTCACAAGTGCCGTACCCTCTGTGTCCGCCGTTACAGGCTTGGGCGCCGTCGGGTCTCCGACGCCCGTCACGCCCGCCCGCCCGCCCGCTAGGTTCCAGAAGACAAGCTCCGGCATCTCGTAGCCAGCGGCCCTGTATCGCGTCGAGATGCGCTCAAAGCTTGTAGACCACCTGTCCTGGTCCGACTCGGCTTCGTTGAACTGCATGTCCGAGAATACGAAGACGCGCTTAACCATGTCCTCGGGCCTGATATTGTTCTTGATCGCGAGAGGGAGGATCAGTTCTTCGAAGACGGCGACGAAGTTTGTGGACATTCCCCAGTCGGACCCCCGGAGACTGGTGACCTTTTGGCGGAAGGTGTCCGTGACGTCGACGCGCTGCACTCTCGGGTTTTCGCTGAAAGTGATGAAGGCGCCCGCGAAAGGTGGCGCAGCGACCTCGGCTACCAGCAGCGATAATCCGATGGCCGAATCCATGGGAGTGGTACCGTCGGATCTTGTGGGGTGGGTCATACTGCCACTGACGTCGCAAACTGCTAGGCTGGACGATAGGGTGCCCGAGTCCCGGATCCGCTGTACCAGTGTCGCCCACTGGCCATCAAGGACCTTGGCCTCTAGCTCGGCGATCTTGGCCTCCACCGCCGTGGAAGCGCCAGTTTTGGCACCTTTAGCGCGGAGTCGAGAGGACCTTAGTTTGCTGACGAGTGTGCTGGGGAGCAAAACAGCTCCCGATATTTTCGCCTTGCCCCCTGCAACCTTTGTGACATATTCGTCGAACCGTTCCGTGTCCTTTGCCGCAAACACGGGTGCGTAGTTCTGCATAGCAATGGACGGGACGCGGTCGTACTTGATATTGTCGAACGTCTGGGCCGTCACATCCCGCTCCACCACCTCGAGCTGCTTGCGCAACGCCGTCATGTCCTTTCGATAGCTGTCGCGCGCGTGGCGGAGGAAAGACTCCCTATCCTCTGCCTGATCTCCCGCGGTAGGTGGAGAGAGCAGCTCGGCAAGGGTTGAAACGACAAACGTGTGCTTGTCATGGAAGCGGGCCATGCTGGGTGCCCACTTGGCGCAAAGGGAGATCTGTCTCATCTCCTTGGCGTCGCCGCTACGGAGCTTGCGGAGATCTTCCTTGAGCTGCGCCGCAAAGAGCCGCGCCACAGACATGTGCAGCGCGCGGTAGACGGGCTCGTTTCCGAACTTGAGGAGCACCTTTTTGTGCCTATCCTCGCGGGCGGCATGCCGCTTGACTTTGGCGTCGTCTGGAGACGTTTTGCTGACTTCCCGGTCGCCCCTCTGGTCCAGGTTGAGCAGCGCTTTGGGGTCGGACAGGGGGTTCAAGCTGCCGTTGGCCGCGAGCGCTAGGATGTTGAGGAGGTCTTTCCAGTAGCCATGGGAAACTCCATTTCGAACGTCGTGATGAGCAGGATCATGCTCATCAGCCTCGGCAGCATCGACGAGAACGGGCTTATCAACATCCCCTTCCTTCTCAGCCTTTTTGGGAATCACTGGGCGGCTGAGCCAACGGAGATTGACAGCGAGGGTCAATGGATGGTTTTGGGCTAGCCAGCCGGTGCAGCGGTAGAAGAGCGTCTTGGAGCTCTTGCCGAGGTGGATAGAGCGGGCATTGAAGATGATCTTGAGAGTCGTTTGAGGATCCTCGGCCCAGGCCGCAGTGAGAACCTCGACCAAGCGTGGCGACGAGATGGTATCCTCCAGCTCGAAGAACAAGTCAACGAGAGCATTCTTGCTGGACCGATGCGCGATATCGCCATTCTCGGTGAGCATTTTGTTGTCTAGGCTCCCTGGGCCTGCCTCTGGCGCCTCGCTGTGTGACAAAAGGGCATCCATGAAGGGGTTAGAGGACTTGGCCACGGCCGCATCGGGAGTTGGAGTGGAGATCTCGGCGGCAGCGAGCGCCTCCCGGATGTCAGCCGTGGTTGATGGGGGCGTGTCAATCAGGGTGCCATCTGATGTTGGCGCATCGGTCGCAGACTTGGCGGCGACATCTGTTGGCTCAACATGGCGAGAGTTGACATCCTGCGTGATGAAGGACTCAAACTCGGTATCGGGGAGCGTCAAGGCTCGGTGGGTAGGGAATAGGACGGGGAAGCCGGAGCTGAGGAACCACGGGGCGGCATCCGTAGCAGCCATTCTGGACTGTCTGGCGATGGCCAAGAATAGTGGCGGGGTGGAGGCTCGTCGAAGGACGGCTGACAACATCAGGACGGGATGGCATGGGCTGGGAGTAGGATTAAATAGGGCAGCAAGGGATCAATTAGGCAAACCAAGACAAGACCTGAAAAACAAGCACCAAGCAGTGCGGCCTAGCAGAAGGGCGATACGCGCTTGGCAGTCGTCCAACCTTACTGGATAAAGGTAGGGGAGGCACAGCCCAACTGATGCAGGAAGGCCACCCGCCGGGTGACTCAACCCCGCGTTGAGAGGAATTACAGCGCTGCCGAGTGACGAAAGGGTGCCTGCTGTGAAGAAAACCCATGGAGTCTATAGCAAAGACAAAAACATCATTTCCATTCGGCGAAAGAAGGACAAAACACCAAAAGAGAGGGAGCGTTGAAGCCAAGGGGTGCGGGGTTTTGATCTTGCAGCGAGCGACCAACAACAGGAGCGGTTGATGTGATCCAAATTTGATGGTGGTGCAAGTCACACCTCCCCGTCCTAGCCTGCTGCTGTAGGCGCCTAGCGGCAAGTAGGCGTCGAAAGGGTCCAGGCAATGAATTAAGTTTCCGTAAAAGGGCCGGAACGGAACCAACAACCAGCCCCAATTACACGCCCTTTGCATCCAGCTGTGCCACAAACAGCTCCAGCTCGCCGAACCCGTCAAACTCCTCGCCGCCCCCAAAGTCCCTCATCTCGGCCAGGGCCAGCCTCGCGTACCTGGCCGCGCCTCCGAGGTCCCTGGCGCCCATGTGCAGCCTGGCCAGCAGCTCGTAGTGGTCCCCCAGCCCCGACACGAGCCCTTCCTCGATGCTGAGCTCGATTAGGGCCTTGCTCTGCCTGATGGCCGCTGACAGCTCGCCGCTTTGGACGTGCTCCATGATCTGGTCGCGCACGCTCACTGCCCGCTCCCGGCGCGCGTCCGAGGCCGCGATCTCGCGAGGGTGCGCGCCGCAGAGGCTGCATGTGCACTTGAACCCCCATCGGTGGAGGAGCGTGTCCTGCCGGTTCTTGTGCGTCATCCCAAACTCGGGGTCTGATGGTTGTGAGCTGCAGATCTCCGGATATCACAAAGTCTACATGCTATAGGTCTTGTCCGGACAGGAGCACTTACAGCTGATGGTTATCTCGTCGCCTGGTTCAATGTCGAGAAAGGCAACAACCTTTTGCGACAATGTCCGCCCCGAAAACCGCGTCTGGGCACTTTGGTTCTCTGTCAATATAGCGTCATTAGATGGAGCTGTAGCCTGACTTACTTTGGAGCACAGGCGTGGTTGATCCGCGAGACGCTAGGGAACAGGCCCATGTACGGCTCTCCATTAATGGTCACCGAGAAGGTGTTGGTGCGCATGACGTCCTCCATAACGGGAGCGCCCGCCGTGCTGCTCCGACCCAGCCCCAGCACTCTCTCCGGATTCCGCAGCTGGCTGGCCGCGCGCTCCAGGATCTTATTCCCCTGCGTTTGCGTCACTCGTCCGGGAAACTCGACTGCCGCAAGCACCATTGCGTAGTCCACCATTATGGTCTCGCCTCGCCGGATCCTTCGTGTCGCCACCACGCCTTTTCCCTTGCCTGGAATATTCTTCACCTCCCACACGTGGGTGCTCCTTGGAGTCGGTGTGACGTCGGCCGAGTTATTCTTATTCCTTGTTCCCCCGATCGCCATCCCTTCGTCGACGCCGGTACCGTCCATGGCAGAAGCCAAGGGCGGGGCAGTGAAAGCCAGCTCCAGTTGACCTTGAGCGCTCGCCAGCACCCTGGGCGTCGTTATTATGCTGAACCCGCGCCCGGTCTGAAAGGCGGCGTTGGTGTAGACGCAGAAGCTCGAGTCGGCGCAAAATGGTGGGTGTGTCCACGGCGCCCATCGTGCCGGTTCTTTCAGCGAGACGCTGTTCTCGTCCATAGGTTGTGGGCAAGCGAATATGCCGCCGATACGGGACATGCTCGCCGGAGCATGGCTGCACTGCCGGACCTGTAGTTCGGGGAGCGCCCATAGTGCTTCTCCGGCCACGCTGCCTGCAGCAGAGCTGATGGTGGCAGCCTTCTCCCAGGCAAAGATGGCGAGGAGCAACGAGAGCCTTAGTAGCATACTGGGATGGAGCCGACCCGCAACCGCATATATCTCTCCGAGCTGCCAGCGTGAAAGCTGCGGTGGCCATGTAACCCAAAACAGCAGGGTCATCGACCGAATGATATATATCCCACCTCATTGATGTTTCCCGCCACCGTTCTCGCAACGGTTTGAGCCTCGGGATTGCTGCCCAGCCGCTTAATTACCTACTGCCGGAGGCCAAGCCCATCACGGCGACAATTACCCGCCAACGCAGCAGTGATATGATCCCAGCCGCGTCTCGCCTTGATACTCGGATGCTTGGCCGGAAGCAAAACGGCTCGTGTGTGGCTGATGGCCTGCTTGGCTACTATGGATGGCTTGAAGATGCATCGGCATTTAAACGATCAGGAGGTGCTCAGCGTTTGGGCTGGCCCGCGTTACCTCTTTGCTTTCGATTTATTCTACCATTTCTATGGTGAAAACTCGATATCACCCGAATTTCCTGGCCCAAGATTGAGCATCATGTGCATACAACTTCCTCGTCTTCCTTTAAAATGAAGAAATGCGTCGACCAAGGGGCAGCGTCGACAAGGCGGCCCAGCTGTCGGCTGGGGACAAGGACGAAGAACAAACTCCTCGCCGCCGCCAGATTATGTTCGTCCGGCACATCGAGCATGGTGACCCAATGTGGATTCGTCTAGTTTTTTATCTTGGATGCCTAGATCTCCTCCCCGCCTGTAAGCTGGACTGGCATGTCGGCTGTCAGCACCGTGGCTTTACATGCCGCCCGAGATGAATCGGGCTCCGCCGCATTCCCACACCGCTCCGCTTACATGCATCTGTAACCCCCCACCCGGGCTCCCTCCTACGCCCGTGGCAGAATGCTCCCACCGCGAATGGCATGCTGCCGTCACGGTCGGGGTTTTCCGACTGGACGGGCTTTGCTGCTGTTGCATGCAAGCCCCAGCAGCGCAATTGGCGTCCCGCTGTGGGACCGGTCCTGCCTTTCAGCTGCTTATTTGCATTCGTGGTCGCCGACGTGGGCGTTTTGGGAATCTCCTCGTTGGTCCTTGCGGAGAATATTCCATAGGTGGCCAGTCTGGTGTCATGGCGGGCCCTGATGAGGTTCTCGGCTCGTTTTGACGAGGAGCATCAACAAGGAAGGTATACGGCAAAAATTCGAGTATAAAAACAAAGATGCCGCTCGCCCTTGTGGCCTCAAGATTCACTTCACCAGCACAGGCATCCAAACAAATCCCATCCAAGGCTCAAGCAAACAAATCCTATTAAAATTTCAGTCGCACCAAGCCCATCCAGTCCGACTCGACATCGCCGCCTTCCAAAATGCAATTCTCAATCCTCGCCATCCTCGCCGCCGCCGCCGCCGGAGTCACGGCCGCCCGGAACAATGCCTGCGGTTACCACCTCGTCAACTCTGGAGGTAGGTCTCCAACCATGAACGCAACCCATCTTCCTTTTCCGCTTTTTTTCCCCTGCAGCAACTGACCCTCGTGTGGAACTAGCCTTTGTCCAGGCCGACATCGCCTGGGCTACGTGTGGGAGGACCGACACGTGCGAGGGCAGGGAGTGGCACACCATCTTCGCCTACAACCTGTCCGGGGAACCCAACGAGCCCATCATTAAGGCTTTCAGCTTTTGCGACAAGGGCTGCACCGAGGTCCCCAACTTCCATGACCGGTGCAACTGAGAGGGACGTCGCTTGTTTCTGTGAAGGGGATGGGGTTTGAGAATTACAACAAAATCTTTTGGTGTTCGCGATGGGAGACCAGTCACTTTAAAATACCTAACTAGGTATACTTATTACCTCTAAGAACAGCGGTATTCACTAATGCCCGGTATTCGAACCTATGGATATGCTTCGTGTCCGAGTGTCTGTCATGTATAACCCCATTGTAGAGCTTAAGAAAAGGAAGTAAGTCGGCGGATAAACGGTTCAACCAATACCTCGGCACATATCTACATATTATCTACATACCAAGGGCTATACACAGCCAATAATTTTACCAATTCAAGCATCGTCATGAGATCTTTGGAGGGCCAATAATGAAAAACACGGGGATGGCTTTTTTAATCTCCTGAAAGTCTTGGTCGCCAAACGCCCGGTTCGAACCCATTTGGGGCCCCAAAAAAACCCAAAACCCACAAGTCCAAATGGTGACCCATTTATGGGTTTTCGCGAGCTTTAGTTGGGACAGGAAGGTTTCACTACCTGCAGGTTTGTGTACCTGCGCATGAGGGAGTCGGTAGTCTCAAGTAAATATATTGCTTGCCTTCTGCGTACTTCATATAATTCAGGCCTTTGCGCACTCGACAGCATGAGACTCCTCGTCCTCATAGTAACCAACAATCTTCATCCCAGCCGCGGTCACCAGCGGGTCAAGCGACTCCCTGTCCCGCAGCTTCCCGCCGATATTGAGCATGACCAGGTCCACGATGGCGTTGAGCGCCTTTGGCGGGCTGATCTTCTTGGGCTCGACGATCAGCACCCTGGCGCTCGTGTCGTCCGGCAGCGCCTTGGCCAGGTGCGAGAGTATGGTGGTGACGGTCTTGTCGGGCCAGTCGTTGAGAACGCGGCGGAGGACGTAGACGAGCGCGCCTGGTTGGTTGCATGTGTCCCGTCAGTACTTGTAACCCATGCCCACGGGGGATTTCGTTTGCGACATACCCTGGACAGGCTGCGGCTGATGAAAGTCATGAGGCATGTGGACGACACCCTGAAGCACAGGATCGGCGATCCGTCTGGCCTCCTCGATGACCTCCTCGCGATCCTGAAGGACGAGCCTCGCAGGTGGGATGGACGGAAACGCAGTTAGTACCATTTTGAGCATCTGCCCCAGCCCGCCCCCCACATCCACCAGCAGCGGCGGCGGCGGCGGTGGCTGCTCCCCGGCAGCGGCGACGGCGGGCCCCTCGGCGGCCTCCTCGGCGATCCAGTCCAGGCTGTACAGTGCCTTGTCGCCGACGACGTCGGCGTTGCTGAGGAAGCTCATGGCCTTCATGGCGGCGCCGAACACGGCCTTGTGCTCGGGGTTGGCGCCGATGATGTCCCAGATGGGCAGCTCCGGGCGGCCCCAGGCGAAGGACGCGGGCGTGTGCGTCCGCCCCTGCGGCTCGCCGCGGCCGTACTCGGCGAAGTAGCTGGGCCACAGCGCGTACGGGCGCATGCCCATGGCGCCCGCGACCCACGCCTGCGGGTACCCCTTGCTGTCGGAGCGGTAGAGCGGCGAGAAGCGCCCGTGGCCGACGTGGCCGGGCTTGGGCTGCGTGAGCTTGCCCGTCGCGACCAGTAGGGAGGCGATTCGGACTGCGAGGGGGAGGTTTGCCGCCAAGTGTCAGGGAGGGGCCCTCCATGCTGCATGGCGTTTTAAGAGACGCGGGGAGTTTGTTAATGGTGGGATGATGGGCGCGAAAACGGACCGATGAGACTCTCCTCTGCGCCGACACTCTCTGCCAGATCCTTCAGGGAGATGCTTCCCGTGAGAGGGATCTTGTCAAACGCTTTCCAATCCATGAAGACGTTCCACGAAGCCATATCCGCCATCTTTTGGTGGGAATGTTATGTCAATCGAGCGAGACGCCATCACGGAACGAGGAAGAGATGGGCTGGCCGTCACTAACATTGACCCACTCCGACTTGAGGTAGTCAACTGGATCAGAAACCTCATTGATGATGGCCCTCGCGGCCTGGACTATTTCCTGGCGGATTGCCTTTTGCTCCAAGCCCGGGTCATTGTCATCCAGCCGTTTGATGTTGACTAGAATCGAGGTCGTGTTATCGACTAGCTTGTCGGATGGCATCTTCACTGATAAGAAAGGGGTGTGGGCTGTTGGGACAATAGGCTTGTCGACAGTAGAGCTAGGGGCCGCGCTGGTTTGATCTGTGAATGTATGGGAGATGGCAGTCCTGGTATAGGTTTTATGAGACACCACCTGGATTCCGGCCTCTTTAAGTGCCCCCTCGCCATGTCTCCTCGTTGGCATGCATGCCCCCGTGCTCATGCTAGTGGCTAGGCCTAGCTGCGTCTGTCGGCACCCGAGACCTCGCTTAACAGGCGGCTACACGCACGATACTTCAGGCGCGGAGCGGCTGCCAACGTGTGCGTCTGTGGGTTGACCGACGGCTCACAACAAACTTAGCGGCACGGAAATTTTTAGAGGCCACAGGTCTCAGCTCGGAGGATCCCTCGGTGCTGGTGGCCCAGCCCTGTTAGCGCATCCGCAAGGTGCTGGGCTGCGGCCATCCGCTCTGCGATTGCACAGGACTGGTACTATAGCGCTTGGCGACGTTGGCGCTGGCCGATGCCGACTTTTTGCTTCTTTTTGTAGCACAGCGTCGCTGCTGCAGGCCAAGCCGACATCCTGCTCTCCAGGTTGGTAGCTGAATAGCTAGGGGGGACCAGCTGGTCCCTGGTCGCCACCACGGACATCATTACTGGGTCAAGCCCTGAGAGCTGAACAGCACATGCATGGTGGCGCACCCGTTGGTCACAGGATGTTGATAAACGGATGGACGGTTACTGCCTAGGCACACTCAATGGCGACGAATCGGTGACGGGGAATTTTAAATTTTTACTTAAATCAGAGGGCCCTTACCTGTCACACGTTTTGCGCTCACCTTGTCCCCTCACCAATCGCGACCCAGGTCCGCCACCATGCCTCGGTGTTCCGTCTGCACTAAAGCAATCCGTCTAAAGCGCAAAGGATTCGAGAACACTCAGGCCACTCGAACGTAGGTTTCGTATAAGGACCTTGTCGCACAGTTGGCAAGGTGTGATTTTTGCGCGCTCTTCCGTTAATAGCTTTGCACCTGGTACACGCAGGAGGCCCTCGACCAACCCCCCGGCGAGATAAAGCTAACCGTCGGCGCCAGAATAGTGTTAAGCTCGCCAGCTGTTTTTGGTGGCTTGCTTTAGCAAATTAAAAAGCTTTACGGTGGCTTCGAGCACCGATCGCGCGGATATAACCATGGGTACATCGAGTGCGCGCAGGAATGGCTGGATAAATGCTTGTCGCTGTATTAACAAACCTGCTGCGGCGCTGTTCCGCTGCTAAATGAAAACGCCCGAGGAAACTCTCTGCCAGGTCTCCCGAGACGGCTAATCGATTTGTCCGAGACGGAAACTGTGAGGATTATCGATTGCAAAGACTGGCTAGCGGCAGGGCTCGCCCTTATCGATGCTCTCCAGGAGTACTTCACCCTCAGCTACCGATGGGGGGATAAAAATCCTGTTTACGCACTTCCAAAAACAAGTACGGTTTTATCGCATTATTGGGGAGGTGTTAAAGTACGTTTTATCGTTCCCTCGCAGCTATTGAAAAATAAGTAAAGCTGTCACGGCCACTAAGGCTGTAACGAGAGATCGATACTTGGGAGGTTACGTAGGAAATCACGTGTATGGTTACGTAACTCCACGTTACTTAATTAGGGCCCCGCACGGGCTCCCGCCCCTACTAAATAGCTTTAACGCGTTGGGCCAGCCTCCGGCCTAACCTTTTAATATACGACACCTTTTTCCAAATTACCAATTCTCACTACGTTACGTGCTTTAATAATTGGTAGCAACTTTGGCAACGAGGTTATCGCCTTAATTGCGGGTTAAAAAAGTTATAGCAATTTACTTAATTTTCCTTTTTTTTTACGGTCGGCGTACGGCAAACCGTATTTTTTTTAACCGTTAATCGGAAATTTTGTAAAGCACGCGTAAAGCGGTTAAGCAAAGTAAACGAAAAACAAAAGGACTTTAACAATTAGCGCTTTAATTTAATTATTAAAACTTTAAAGCGATTAACCGCGAACGAATTTAGCGTAAAGTTAATTCGGTTGCTTTAAGGATTTACTTATTTAATTTACTTTTTTAACACTTTTTAATCCTTTTAAAAAAGGCCGCAACGGAAATCATTTTGGTTTATTTTGGTTAATAACAACGGGATCGAATCTAAACCTTTTTTTATTATTCCATTCCAATGTCCTCGTTGCGCAGTGGTTCAGCGCTGGGAAGTCCTCTTTGGAAAACGCAAATTCGATTCCTGCCGGGGATACGGGGTTTTTTGTTTCGCACGTGCAAAGCGATTTATTAAGCCCTAAACCGTTCCGACGTTTTTCCGAACAGTTAGTTCCCATAACGAAACGACCCATAGCAACAAAAAACTTTACCCTTATCGACGAGCCCTGTAGCATACCCACGTGCGACTCCCCTTCGACCCCAACGAAATTACTTGCAACCCGTTAGCGGGGTTCCTTACCCCCGAGCCTTATAACGCACGTACCGAAAGCACGTGCAAAAGGCTACCAAAAGCACGTGCAGCTTGTAAACGCACAAATTATAAAGCAAACGAAAAAATAAGGATTTCGGGCTAAAATAAATCCAATAAGCTATTGGAATAATAGCGCCGGGGCAGCGGCGAAGGATAAAGGTACCGATAGCAACGAAAGCAATTCCAATAACAAAATCGGCCGATAAAATGATGGCACTAATTAAAAAAAAGGGAAGGACCGCTTTCGAAGGGGCGCGTTTGGCCTAAATACAAAGGGGGCACGCCCTAACTGGAAAAGGTAAAACTTAAAAGCGATTAACGAATAAGCCTTATAATAAAATAAAAATTGCTAATTCGGTCGCTTAAACTTTGCAAATAAGCTTTAAGCCCTTTTAAACCGTAATGTGCCATTTGGGGTAATGCACGCTCGTGTACGTACAAGCTTGTTTAATTACTAATGTAATTCCATATGCAGGAATTTACTTACGAAAAAAACGCGGAATTGCAAAAACTTCGAAGGAAAAGGGTTTTCATTTAGCCTTACACCAAACAGCTATTGGCTGGGGGCACGGTTTCCCCCTTTATATAGTTAACCCGATCCGTAAAGCTCTTTATGGGCTATATAACTCGAAAAGGGTAAATAAGTATATATATTCCATTCCAATTATATTTAATTAAAATTGTATAGGTTAATATTTAAGTATTATTAATTGCTAATTGCTAACCGTAATAGCTAACGAACCATTTACGCTCGGCGAAACAATGCCGGGCGCAATGTCACCAAATTTTTTATTAATTAAAAGCGAAACGCCGCTAACTCCGGCTGCGCAAAGCTTAAAGCAAATTAACAATAGCGTTTACTTTAAGCGCTTACAACGAAAACGCGAAAAAAAGGCATTACAATTAAAATACTAACCAAAAAACCTTTAACTTTTAATCCCGGCAAAAAATTATTCAATTTGCGATATTGCTTTCCAGCGCCGTAAAAGCCTTTTTTTTTAATAACCGCGAAGCCCTTCTTTTTAAGCGCTACGCAAATTAAATTTAAGCGCCCGTTCCAAAAACGTAAAATTACTTTTTATGCGATATTGAAAACGAACCCGGAGCTATCGGGCGCTAACGTTAACCGGTATTACAAAGGACAACCAAGCGCTGAACGCTTTAAACCAAAAAAAAAACCGGCAATAATAGCAAAATTATTAAATACTTTTGCAACGCGGTAAGCAATTTGCAAAAGTTTAATTAAAACCAAAAAGCAATTACTAACAAGTTATTCCAAACCCAAAATAAGCTAACGAAAGCTATTAAAAGCATAGGCCGAAAAAATTTAAAAAATTACAATAAAGTTTACGTTATAATGGAACGCTATAAACAAAAGCGTTATTAAGCCCAAAAAAGAATAAAACCCAATTTAACTTTTTTTACAACGTATTTGCTAAATTTAAAGCTAAGCAAGCAAAGGTTTAGTGTTACAAAAAAAACAATATATACCGTAAAAAAAAGGTTTTAAGCGTAAATAGCAAATGCCTAAAGCATCAAAAAAGCGGTTCCTCTGCCTAAAAGCGTATAACGCTTCCATGCATTAGGAAGGAAGCTTAGTAAGCAAGGAAAACACGGGAATTACGTATATATAAAAGGCAAAAGCTTTTACGGAACCTTGCACTTTAAATCCTTTTTTCCAGAAAGCAATTTAACTGGAATAGCTTTATACCGTGCTTATACCTTTTACTTGCAACAATTATAAACCCGGCAACTTTTAAACCCTTTTTTGCAAAGTAAAAGGTTTAACAGCATAAATTTATTCCTTTTTTATTACTTTTATTAAATCGTTTCCAAGCGCGCTTAAAAAAGCGCGTTTATCTTTTTTTTCCTTTTTGCAATTTTTTTACGGAAAGATTTTTACGCTTTTAAAACCTTTTTTAATGAAGTTTTTTTTGCCGAAGCAAATTTCGTTGCCAATTCCGAACGTTGCCAAAAACCTTTATTAAATTCCATTTTTTTAACTTTTACGTTTTTACGCTTTTAAAGCTTTTAACCCTTTGCCCTTTTCCAATCCGGCTTTACTGAAAAGCCCCCGGCTGCTGCCAATTATAAACGGTACAAACGAGGATTTTTTTGTAATAGCGTTGCTTAAAAACGAGGAGCAATAGCTTACGTAATTTACGGCGCTTCGTTAATACGCATTAATCCTAAAGATTTGGAACCAGGTTAATTTTAATTTAAAATTCCCGAACGACGTACAGGCCAACAAAACCTTAAATTTCGATTTTTTTGCAGCAAAAGCCCGGGCCAAACACGTTAAAAATTATAAATTTAAGCGCTTGGTTTAGCAAACAATCCTTTCGACCGAAAAAAAGCTTGCTTAAAGGTTTGGTAAAGCAAAAACGAAATTACGCAAAAATTTAATCCCGAACCTTTCCGGGCCTTTTTCGTTTTTCCTAAAGGTAATTTTAAAGCCAAATATAAAAAAGCGCTTAAAACAAAAAATACCGCAAGCAAAACCGTTTCGAAAAAAATTATAACGCTTTCCAAATGGATTAATTTTTTCGTAAATTTTATCGCGCTTACGAACGCGCAATTAAAAGCGCAAACCAATAATTACGTAACTTTCCAAAGCATTATTATTTGCTTAAAAGCGCTTTACGCTTCCATTTTAATAATAAAAACCTAAATAATTTTTTAAAAGTACCGCAATACGTTTAAAAAGGTAACTAATATTACAAACGTTAATTAATAATTTTTAAAATTCCAAACAATTTTTACCCAAACCAAAATTAAAAACGGGTTTAAAGTTTAAAGCTTTACGCTTATGTTTAACTTTTTTAAGCATATAAAGCGTTTTAATCCTTTGTAAGCAAAGCGTTACTAACAAAAAGTAATTACGGGCAATTTTATAAAGGAAATGGATACTTTAATAACCAAATTTTCGATTATCCTTTTTTAACATTGCATCGATAATTTGGGCATAAAAAAAAAGCTTGCGTTTTTAACTTTTAAAGGCGTACCCGGAAAAAAAAATAACAAAGTAAAAAGCTTTTAGCAAAATAACAAAACGACGTATGGGTGCCCGGCTTGCATTTAAAACTACGCTTGGAAGCCGAAAGATTGTTGGAAGCTTATTTACGCTTTTACCGGCAATTTTAGCCAATTTCGTAACAAGCTTAACAACGAAAAG